TAGGTCTCTCTGATTCCCAATCCCATGCTCTTGAGCCCAAGGTTACTGCTACTTACAATATACTATCTGTAATGATCGGGGAGGTTGAGACTGCAGTGGGGCTTCACCTAACTGCCGCAGGAGACTCAAGGAGCAAGGGATGAATCCAGATGAGGATGCCTTGGAGGAGGAGGCATCTGAGCTAAGCCTGGAAGGTAGAGGTAGAATATAGACACGTGAGCTAAACTTAAACTGCTATCCCAGTACTCCTAGTACGCAAGGGGAAATCTTGAACCAAGTTACAGGGGCGAGATTGTGTGGCATGTGATTTGTATTCAGCATTTCATCCTTCCTTCCATTCGGAACGTAATTCCTGAGATCATGCTGATGGTGAGTTGATGGTAGTAGAAAGAATAGACATTTCTCACAATCTCTTTCCTGACTGGGTCCCCACGAAGAGCCAATCAAAACTTTTATGACCTCTTCTAGTGGTGGGAGTTGATGACTGTCCTGGTGACAATGGGGAAATACTAGACTGTTTCTCTTTAGTTCCGCCTTGGGAGAGGATGGTGGTAGCAGTAGTTGGCTTCTCTTTACATCCAGGCTCTAGTCCAAATCCCCCACCCTCAAAGTATATAAAGGGAGACACGCAGCACCTCCACTTCCCAGGCCCTCTCCCAGTTTCAACCTCCTCTATTCCAGGCATTAGACTTTTCTAGAAGTGCTGAAAAATAAAAATTACTGCGTGGTTACTTCAAAAACAAATAGCCCAGAACACTCGGCCCTTCCGAAGGTCTGGAGGGAGCTTTTTTGGGGACTCACCCTGATTTCTCTGAAATCTAGCTCTAGCTAGATGACCTTATGGCTCGGAGATGGATAAGCAGGGTATTCTTCCCTATTATATTCTTAGTCATTTTACTCATGCCTACTTTTATCTGGAGTCCACAGACTAAAGGTTACTTTCTGAAGCAGAAGCTTTCAAATGACCCTAGTTCCAACATTAAGCTTTCTTCAATTTAACTAGGAGCTTTTATAGCACTCGGTACCTAGTTCTATAATTTTAAGTGACCGTATTCAAATTTGAGGAAACCTAGATACAGTCATATAAGATATTCTCTCCGGCTCTTAAAATTCTTAAGGGGACTTTAGAAATTTTCTCCCCAAAGGTAGGAAAAGCAACCACCAAAAAGGTAACAGCCCATGGATAAATGGACCCTTCCCACCACATGACTATGACGATTACTGTCACAGATCCCATTGCACTACTACTTCCCGAGGATAAAATTCATGAAAGATGACGCTCAACCAACATAGTAAAAAGGTCATTAGGTAATCAAAAATTAAAACATGATACCAGTACACATCTACTAAAAAGGCTAACATCCAAAACACTAACACCAACAAATGTTGGCAAGGATTCAGAGCCATGGGAACGCCGCAACAACAGTACAGCCACTTGGGAATATAGCCTTGCATTTTCTTCCGAAGATAAACGTAGGCTTATCACGCAGTTCAGCAATTCCTTGGTATGTACCCAAATGACTTGAACACATGTCTACACAAAAATTAACACACAAATGCTTACAAAAGCTTGACACTTTTCTGTATTCTAAAATATTTTTATTTAAAAACAAAGTATACAAGAGGGCAGAAAAGGCCTCTTTCAAATAGATACAATGGACCTATTATCAGAATATACAGGAATATAATTTTCTTAACATTTTTATGGATTCCATTCCTGTGCTGGGGGATGGGAGCAGACTGGGAGAAATCAATGGGGAGGGGGGGAGTGGAGGAAACATGTAATACTTTAAACAATAAAGAATTTTTTTAAAAATACTAATACATATATAATGTTCTGTTTAAACTGAACAAAAAAGGTAAGCCCTCTAATGTTAAAAATCTATAGTTACCAAATAAAAGACATTAAGGCATGTTTGGTTAAATTGACTTAATTACTTAAATTTAGTTGTATGTAAAATGAGCTAACATCTCAATGTAAGCTCTTATCTATATACATATTTTTTTAAAATATATTTTTATTGATTTCAGAGAGGAAGGGAGAGGGAGAGAGAGATAGAAACATCAATGATGAGAATCATTGATAGTCTGCCTCCTGCACACCCCATACTGGGGATGTGCCCTTGACTGGAATCAAACCCGAGACCCTTCAGTCTGCAGGCCGACGCTCAATCCACTGAGGCAAACCGGTTAGGGCTCAATAAAACATTTTTTTAAAAAACTATACTCAGTAAAAAAATAAAATATGCATTTAGTAATCAAATGATTATATACAAAAGTGCCCAAGAAAAGAGTCACGATTAAAGTAAGAAAAATAACTTACATGATAACTAAAAGACAAAGATGCAGACCTCTGAGGCGCCTGACATTCTAACCACAGCGTCTCCTGGCTTCCAGCTCACCTTGCTCCCATTCTCTCCTCTCCAGCTAAAAGTTATGCTCCAGGTGTGGCGCACACGCCTTGCATCTCTCCTCTCTGCTCCTTCACTTGGTTTAGGTCTTCTCTGGCAACATACTCTCTTCTCCATTTCAACCTGCCAAAACCCTACTAACTTCTCAAGGTTTAGTTCAACCTTTCCAAAATAACTCCTAGTGTGGTGTAATAATAATAACAACGATAAGCAGCCATGAACACTCTCTCGTTGGGTATGATCATAAAGGCTCTCTCATCTCCTCCTCAGAACAGTTCTGTGAATTAGGCAAACCTTCATCCTCCTGTTTTGTCAGCCTACGCCTGGAATCACAATCCCTCTTTACTCCTCCCCATTCCCCTTGCAAATGAGCAAAACACACCAGCAAGCACATAGCATCCCTCTCTTTGGCTCTGGGAATTGACTGATGGATGGTATTAATAAAAACAGTGTCATCAAAGGCAAATAAGAAAATCGACAAAAGTAGAGAAACAGACAACACCGCATAACTTAGTCCTGGCCAATGTGGCTCAGTTGGTTGGAGCATTGACCTGTACACCAAAAGGTGGTGGGTTAGATTCCTGGTCAGGGCACATACCCAGGTTCCAGGTTCCATGAGACCGCTGATCAATGTTTCAATGTTCTCTCTCTCTCTATCTCTCTCTCTATCTCTCTTTCCGTGTGTGTGTGTGTGTGTGTGTGTGTGTGTCCCTTCCTCTCTCTGGAATCCATTAAATAAATAAATAAATAAAGACAAACAAACAAACAATTGTTTTAAAAAGAGGGAAAGGAAAGAGAGGGAAGGAAAGAGAAGATGCTGATTTGCCTTGCTCTGTGTTTTCACCACGTCAGGCAGATGGGATAAGACCAGCTATGTGGTCATGCCACCTCTACGGGAGAGGATGGGGCTGGAAGGGGAAGGTAATGACCCCCACAAACTGCAGAGAGGAGCGCTTTACTTTAATTAATTAATTTACTGACTGATTTTTAGGGAGAGAGAGAGAAACAATGATTTGTTGGTCCACCCATTTATACATTCATTGGTTGATTCCTGTATGTGCCCTGACCAGGGATGGACCTGGCAATGTTGGCGTTTCTGGATGAAGCTCCAACCAACGGAGCTAACCACCGGGGCCACAAGCACTTCAATGCTTATCTCTGTGGGTTTTGTTTTTTGAATCTCTCTCTCTATGGCTTTTGTTTTTTTTCTTTTGTTTTTTGTGTTTTTGTTTTCTTTAAGCTGTGCACTTTGTTGAACTGGTCTCAAGTCCTCAAGTCAGTCAGTGCACAGGTAAGCCCTGCTTGGCTACCTCCACACCTCAACCCACTCCCAGGGGACCAAAAGCCTTCATACATCTCAAGTTGGGGACAAGAAGGGGGGGCCACGATGGCTGGCCATTCAAAATAAAACAAAATAACAGGTATTAAGGCGAAGATTAAAAAATTTGGATTACATAATTTACACAAAAGCAATGCTACCACCCTCCCCGTGTAGACTCGGGGAGGACTGGCCCTTCTTAAGGAGAGTGGGCGGCTCTGGGGCAGGCAAGGGACTTCCTGTAACAGTGCATCTCTCCTATTTGGGATGACTATTTAAAAGAAGAACAATGTGCAATCAAAGTCATCGGCCACATTGTAGAACTTTGGGGGTGCTTGCTCCAACAGACTGCTGTCACCCTCACCGTGCTAGTTTTTAAATCCTGAGTCAAGCGCCCAACCCCCCAAAATCAAACAAACAAACAGTCCGCCTAGAAGCACTTGCATGGATGATGGTGGGGCCGGACTCCTCATACCCCTGCTTGGTGCTCCACATCGGCTGGAAGGTGGACGGCGAGACCAGGATGGAGACTTGCGGTCCGGGGCGCAATGGTCTTGACCTTCATCGTGCAGGTCATGCCGGGAGCCAGAGCAGTTATCTCCTTCTGCATCCTGTTGGCGGTGCCGGGTGCATGGTGGTTCCACCAGACAGCACCGTGTGGCAGCGGCACCGCTCGTTGCCCATGGCAATGGCCTCCCCGTCCGGCAGCTTGCAGCTCTTCTCCAGGGAGGAGCTAGAGGCCGCCGGGGCATCTCCTGCTCCAAGTCCAGGGCGATGCAGCACAGCTGCTCCTGGATGTCGCGCACCATCTCCCGCTGGGTGGTGGTGGTGAAGCTATAGCCATGCTCTGTGAGCACCTTCATGAGGTAGCTCAACGGTCCAGATGCAGGATATGGGTGACCCCATCCCCAGAGTCCATCACGATGCCAGTGGCACGGCCTGGATGGCCACGCACATGGTGGGGTGTTGAGGTCTCCAACATGATCTGGGTCATCTTCTCACTGTTGTCCTTGGGGTTCAGACGGGCCTCGGTGAGCAGAACAGAGTGCTCCTCAGGGGCCACATGCCCCCCATCCCTACCCCCACAGCTCGTTGTAGAAAGTGTGATGCCAGATCTTCTCCCTGTCGTCCCAGTGGTTGGCGATGCCATGCCTGATGGGGTATTCAGGGTCAGGGTGGCTCTCTTGCTCTGGGCCTCATCACCCACGTAGGAGTTCTTCTGGCCCATACCCACCATCATGCCCTGGTGCCAGGGGCGCCCCACATGGAGGAGACAGATGGCACTGGGGGCATCCCCCCCAAAGCCCGCTCTGCGCAAGCTGGAGCTGGTGTGGTCCACACGTGCAGCAATATCATTATCCATGGTGAGCAGGGTGGTGTGGGCCAAGGAAGGTGGAAGAGGAGAAGTCTGGTGGAGAGAAACCAAGATGGCGGCATAGGTAAACACCAAAATTGCTGCCTCGCACAACCAATTCAAAAATACAACTAAAAGACAAAACGAACATCATCCAGAACCACAGGAAGGCTGGCTGAGTGGAAATTCTACAACTAAAAGGAAAGAGAAAAGCACACTGAGACTCAGAGGAGGTGTGGAAGTAAAGCACAGAGGTACGGAGGCGCACATGAAAAGGGCTGGCAACTGAGGACACGGTTGTCTTTTTCAATCGGGAGGGAGTCTCAAGCTCCCAACTTCTCTGAACTCCAGTTCCGGGAGAGTCTCTGTGGACCCAGACTCATATGGGGAGAAACTGGACTGTCAGGTAGCGGTCGGAACTCGAGGGCGGCTTTTTCTCAGAAGTGCTTGTAGCAATTATCAGGACACTGAGATGCGGGGCCTCTTCGGGTAGGACTGAGGATCAGCCATAGTTGTTTGCTCCATCCTGTTGATTCCCTGAGACCCCGCCCCACCCAAGCTGTGTGCAGAGGCTTTTGCATATGAATGACCTGGCCCTTTGCAATCTAAAATTACCTAACAAACTGCAGCTGGGTCAGAGAGACCCAGAACATCCAAAAGAAGGCCCATGGCCCCGGACCAGCTTGCATTGCTTCACAGCTGGGCCTCATCTGGGCACCTCCAAACCCCAAACAAAGAAGAGGAATCTGCAGATCTCTCCATATCTCCTGCTGGGTAGCCTCAGACAGAGGCTAAATTAGCACCTCCTTAGAGATCCAAGAGCCAGTGTACCCAGTGGTCAGAGTGGGACCATCCAGATTACAACTCCTCAGATCCATAAGGGACACACTCAAGGGGCAGACTCAGTGAGCACCAAAGCCCCACTGAAGCAAGTCTTGCCCCAGAAGGGTGTCATCAGCACAGAAGTTCTCCCACCATAGATACAGCTGATTCTCACAGCCAATTGGCCTGGAAGTCAATTCCTCCCAGTGATACCTACAATAATCAAGGCTTAACTACAAGACTGTGCATATGGCCCACAAAGAGGTGCACCAAGAGTGTCCACCTCAGGTAACGGGAGGCTGAGCCACTGGGCCCTATAGGACACCTAGCACAGAAAGCCACTCTATCAACACTGGGAAGCATAAAAAATGCAAAGACAAAGAAATAGGTCACAAATGACAGAAATGGAGGAAAGCAAACTACTGGATATAGAGTTCAAAACCACACTTTTAAGGTTTTTCAAGAATTTTCTAGAAACCGCCGATAAATTTAGTGAGACCCTCAATAAATCTAGTGAGACCCTCGAGGATATGAAAAAGGACCAACTAGAAATTAAGCATACACTGAATGAAATAAGGAATATTATACAGAGATAAAATAGCAGACTAGAGCAGTGATGGCGAACCTTTTGAGCTCGGCGTGTCAGCATTTTGAAAAACCCTAACTCAACTCTGGTGCCGTGTCACATATAGAAATTTTTTGATATTTGCAACCATAGTAAAACAAAGATTTATATTTTTGATATTTATTTTATATATTTAAATGCCACTTAACAAAGAAAAATCAACCAAAAAAATGAGTTCGCGTGTCACCTCTGACACGCATGTCATAGGTTCGCCATCACTGCACTAGAGGATCGCAAGAATCAAGTCAAAGATTTGAAATACGAAGAAGCAAAAAACACCCAACTGGAAAAACAAAAAGAAAAAAGAATCCAAAAATATGAAGATAGTGTAAGGAGCCTCTGGTACAACTTCAAGCATACCATCATCCGAATTATGGAGATGCCAGAAGAAGAGAGAGAGCAAGATATTGAAAACATATTTGAAAAAAAATAATGACAGAAAACTTCCCCTACCTGGTGAAAGAAATAGACTTACAAGTTCAAGAAGCACAGAGAACCCCAAACAAAAGGAATCCAAAGAGGACCACACCAAGACACATCATTTAATTATGATGATAATTAAAATGCCAAGACCAAAAGACAAAGAGAGAATCTTAAAAGCTGCAAGAGAAAAAGTTAGTTACCTACAAGGGAATACCCATGTGACTGTCGGCTGATTTCTCAATAGAAACTATGCAGGCCAGAAGGGAGTGGTGAGAAATATTCAAAGTGATGAATGCCAAGAACCTACAACCAAGATTACTTTATCCAGCAAAGCTATCATTCAGAATTGAAGGTCAGATAAAGAGCTTCACAGATAAGAAAAAGCTAAAGGAGTTCATCACCACCAAACCAGTATTATATGAAATGCTGAAAGGTATCCTTTAAGAAGAGGAAGAAGAAGAAAAAGGTAAAGATACAAATTATGAACAACAAATACACATCTATCAACAAGTGAATCTGAAAATCAAGTGAATAAACAATCTGATGAACAGAATAAACTGGTGAATATAATTGAATCAGGGGCATAGAAAGGGAGTGGACTGAAAATTCTCGGGGGAAAGGGGTGTGGGGGGTACAGGAAGAGACTGGACAAAAATCATACACCTATGGATGAGGACAGTGGGGGGATACGGGCAGAGGGTGGGGTGGGAACCGGGTGGAGGGGAGCTTTAGGGGGAAAAAAGAGGAACAACTGTAATAATCTGAACAATAAAGATTTAATTTAAAAAAAAAAGAAGGCTCTCTATGGCTTTTGATTGGTGCTTGACTTAATCGCTATCATGGAAAGCAACATAATCCTGAGATGCCCAATTCAGTTTCTAAATTCAACTCAATTTTTAAGTTTCAAAGCTCTTTTCCTTCCCAACTCTGAGAAGCTGTTTCAGCAACAGCACCCAAGGCCTTCACCTCCAAGCTCTAGTCAAATACTCCTTCCCCTCCAACATGCCTCTCGGAGGGTCATTTCCACACCAGCCAGGGCTTCTTCTCCCACCTCATGAACATTCGCTTGAAAGCTACTCTCTGGATAGTGATAGAGAGTGCAGGACTAAAGAAAGGTCTTTGGATTTTCTTTTAAAACTCGAGGCCTGGTGCACAAAATTTGTGCACTGGGGGTTGTCCCTCAGCCCAGCCTGCACCCTCTCCAACCTGGGACATCCCTCTCACAATCCAGGACTGCTGGCTCCTAACCGCTCACCTGCCTGTCTGCCTGATTGCCCCTAACTGCTTCTGCCTGCCAACCTGATCACCCCCTAACTATCCCCCTGCAAGCCTGATTAATGCCTAACTGCTCCCCTGCCGGCCAGATCGCCCACAACTGCCCTCCCCTGCTGGCCATCTTATGGCTGTGGGCACCACCATCTTTGAGGGCGTGGCAGTCAATTAGCATATTCTCTCCTTATTGGCTGTGGGCACTGCCATCTTTGCAGTCTGCTGCTCAGTCGTTTGGTCGTCCCTCACTAACACCCCTGCCGGCCTGGTTATCCATTTGGTTGCGATGGTCGCTTAGGCTTTTATATATATAGATGTGTTTTGATTATTGATTTCAGAGATAGATAGAAACGTGGATTGGCTGCCTCCCGCTGCCCCACACTAGGGATAAAGCCTGCAACCTAGGCATGTGCCCTGACTGGGAACCTAATTGTCAACTTCCTGTGCATGAGATGACACTCTACTAACTGAGCCACACCTGCTCAGCAGTCTTGGGCTTTTCATTTGCAAGAGAGAAAAAGTTTCTTTCTCAGAGTATGCTGCAGCAAGACATGGTACTTCTCCTTATCAGGTACTCCGCAGTTCCAGTCATACATATTGCTATTCAGTTCAAGGTGGAGATCCACAAGTGGCCGACTTCTGGAGGGAAGGAGAAAAGCTAAAGTGAATTGCATGCAAACATCAAAGAGGAGACAGATTGTCATTAGGGTGAAATGAGCCAACTGAATAGGGTAGTGAAGACCTGGGGTGGGGAGGGAGTAGGAGCTGGGGCGGGGGGTGGGGGGGATGGGGAGATATCTGTAATACTATCAGCAATAAAAATATTTTTACTAGTGGCCTGGTGCACGAAATTGTGCACATTGAAAGGGAATTAATTAGAGGAATGTAATTTGGACTCACTAATATCAATAATATGTAAATGTGAGGCAGTCCGCATTTCTGAAATTCAATGACATGAATTTTAGCTATTACTTTGCCAAATAAATGGAATTTACAGATATCATTTAAAAGAGCACTCAGCTTGCCCTAACAGATTTGGCTCAGTGGATAGAGCGTCAACCTGCAGACCAAAGGGTTCCAGGTTCGGTTCCGGTCAAGGGCATGTACTTGGTTGCGGGCACATCTCTAGTGGGGGGAGTACAGGAGGCAGCTGAATTGATGTTTCTCTCTCATCGATGTTTCTAACTCTCTGTCCCTCTCCCTTCCTCTCTGTAAAAAATCAATAAAATATATATTTTTTTTAAAAAGAGCATTCAGCTTAATATTAAAAATTCTGGCTCCAGGTCAGGTCTGTTTTCAACTTTTAGCCAGCATTGTAAATTGTTTGCAGTATCTGCCCATTTGGGGTTGCCATGTCATGGTTATGAATAAATCGGGCTTGCCATACTTCGTTACAATTGCCATAGCATCCTGATATCGCTGCTGCATATTTCTGAGACTACCGTCAAAGGATGATGGAAGTATTATCATTTTACCAATTGGCACATGGTCATTTTCAGAGCTAGATTTGAGATAATCCATCAAACCACTATATTTTTCAACTCTCAACTTAGATTGATTTGCTTTGATGAAATTTATCCGATTGGCCTCCATTTTTTAATATGAATCCACGATAAACTGTTGAGTTAATTTTCCTGGATTTAAAATAGGATTGAATGTGCCCTGCACAGAGACATAAAATCCATAATACTGCATTTGTGTGACTCGTATCCTTACATTTTGTCTAGTATTATTGTCGATTACACTGTTGTCTCTGAGTCTTAATGCAATATCTGTTCCCCAGCCTTTTTCACCATGTGGAAAAAGAGTAGGATATGTCATTGCATCTAATGTAGGAAACAGGATATTGATTTGTTTCATTTTAGTGGCATTTGGATTATTGGGGTCTGGTTTACAATGAATGAGCAAGTCCCTTTCAAAAGGAGGTTCTCCATCTTCGTTCCTGAATATGACAGAAACCTCAGTTACACGGGGAGAATTATATCTACCGGGGTCACTGTTACGATAGTACTTAATTGCCATTGTTACTTCTGTGGGAGCAACACCTTTTGCTGCTGCTTCAGATTGGGCTTCCTTTTCTACCTCATGTAGCATCTTGTACGATTTTGTTAATTCATTTATTTCATGCATGAGGTTGTTGATGTTGATCATGAGTCTTTCTGAGCAGCCCTGGCTTTCTGGCATTGCTAATCTTTTACTTGTAGCTTCGGCTGTATCCAAAATATAGAGTTGAGCAAACTTCCAAGAAACACCATCCGAAGGATGTAAAGTTCCAGCACGGTGATAAACTTGTCCGTGTATCCTAAAACAGTATGGCCCATATCCTGATGGTGATGCAATATTTGCTCCCATGGAAGCAAAAGCAAAAGAACTATTTATGGAGCGAATATTTTCCATGAGATTTTTACTGTCAGAATCTTCGTTTGTCATTAATCTTTTTAAATATGCCGGGTAATCTGGAAAATGTATATTATTTGGACAGACTTTCCCTTTGCTACAACATTGAGTAAATTTCCCATTGGCTGGTTTGTCATCAGAGAAATTTAGTGATAGGCAAAATTCACATCGAACAGTCATTCCACCACAACTATGTTCGAGAATTGCATCCTCATGTACTCCATTTTTGCTGAAAAGGCAGTTCCTATCAGTATTGGTAGTACTTGTTGATGACTGTTCTCTAGACATATTCTGTCGTCGCCACTGCCTTCTTTCAACTTCAAAGGCATGTTGGTCTTTAGACATTTTCTGTCAATAATGCCAGTGTTTTTTGGCATCAGAGCAACGTTTTTCCAGAAGCTGGTGTTCAGATACATTCTGTCGCAGGCACCACCTTCTTTCAAGATCAGACACATGCTGCTCTGCAGACACTGTCTGCCGACAACACCGGCATCTTTCGGCTGCAGAGCTACGTTGTATCAACCGTTGTTCTTTAGACATAGTCCCACCTCCCTGCTGTCACGGTCTGAGATGCAGGTGAATGAGAGTCCTGGCTGTCAGGCCACTGAGAGCTGTCTGACCAACAGCTGATTCCGGCTGATTCTGTGGGGGTAGGACTTCCTCCTCCCTGCTGTCAGTTTCCACAGCTGTGATGAGGAAACTGGGGTGACAGAGGGAGCCGCACACTCCATGCCACCCTCCCTCTCGCTCTGCTCTATGTCCAGCGGTCTTCTGCTCTGCCAAGTCCTCCAAACCTTCCGCTCTCCGCTCGCTCTTCCTCTCTGCTCTCCGTCGGCAAGTTCCTGGGAGCCCGCAGGCATGGCTAGGCACACCTGGCCTCGCCTCCCGGGCCAGCAATGGCCGCCGTTGCCTCCTGGGGTGCTTGACACCTGCATATGCAAATTAACCGCCATCTTTGTCAGGTTAATTTGCATAATCACTCTGATTGGCTGGTGGGCGTAGCAGAGGGATGGTTAATTTGCATGTTTCTCTTTTATTATATAGGATTGATTCCAGAGAGGAAGGGAGAGGGAGAGAGAAATAGAAACATCAATGATAAGAATCATTGATCAGCTGTTTCCTGCATGCCCTCCCATTGGGGATCAAGCCTGCAACCTGGGCATGTGCTGTGACGAGGAACCGAACCATGACCTCCTGGTTCATAGGTAGACACTCAACTGCTGAGCCACGCTGGTCAAGCTAAAAAATATATTTTTTAAATGAGCCAACTGATGGGAAAGTGCTCTTTTCTAAATACTTTACAAGCTGCTTAGTGAGTGATTCAAGCCAGCGGGCAGCACTCTGGCACGTGACTTCAATCCCCTTCACCAAGGGGCAACTGAATCAAACAATGACCCACTTGGATTGTCTGTGCACATGCAGGATACATGTAAAAGGCCAGTAATGCCGCTGGCACCCTGAGTGTCCACCTTAGAACATGGAGTCATCCCTGCTCTGTGCACCCATTAGTGCTGAACCACCACTGAGGTGGTGGTGATCTAGTGCTCTGGGATCAGTCAGGGCGGCTCACCTCTCCTGCTGCAGCTTCTGGGAGAGGCACTGTAGGTACCGGGACGATAAGGTGGGGCACTGGTCCAGCAGAGATGCATCTGCCTTGCACAGGCTCCAGAAGAAGTCGGCTTCTGGGTGAACCGTGCAGGGCTCAGGCTGCCAGGCCTTGGCATCCATGTTGCTCGCTGCTAGCCCATCGACCTCTGGGAGGCTGCTGTCTTCCATGTGACTCTCTGACTTCTCATAGTTCTGAATAAAAAAGAGCTTTGGCTTTCCCAAGAGAGAAGGGCATGCATCTCCCCTGAACATCCTCCTGATCTGATCCAAAGACAGCCCTGAGTGAGTCTGATCCACACCAAACAGGCTCTGTGAGCCCCCTCGGCTCACCAGGACGCACACAAAGCTGTCCTTGTCTTGGTGGTGAGTCCAATAGGCAACTTGGCGAAGATGATGACGCATAAGGCTCATCGTCAGAAATGAGAAACACCAGACTTCAAAGCCCAGGGAAGTGAAGGTGTGCCGAAGAACGTCTGGGGAAAAGAAACAGGCAGGTCATAGGAATGGATACATTACAGGGCTCAGCTCCAAATAGCTGCAGAAAGGGTGGTGTGGGTCTCGAGTCCTCTCACCTCCACCCAGTCGCTGGGGGATGACATGAAGCCCCTAGGATGTAAGTGGTGACCATTTCCAGACTCTCCAGTTCCCCTCCTGACCTGCTTCCCAGTGTGACCTCTGACTGAGCAGTGGGAACCCTGGGCCAAGACTCCCTACAGTGCCCGCAGAGTCGTCTCCTAGCTTGCAGAAATCCTGGATTGACCCTGGCTCCAGACGTAGAGGAAGGAAGTAGGAAAAGTAGAGGTCGAGTGTGTTGACCTTGCCACACCTGGGCGGCATGCTCTTTAGGAAGTGGGTCTTTCCAGCTTTCAATGGAAGTGATGAGACCCACCCTCTGAGAACGCTGTGAGGATTACATGAGATAAGACAAATAAAGCTCCTGGTGCTCCACAGAAATTAGTTCCTACTCTCTTTTTAAAAATCTTTTTGTCCATATTCCAGAAATTTCTATGGCCTTGGAACCCTAGACACTCTACCCAGTCCACTTCTTCTCCATCTGATCAGCTTACCTTCACTGGAGACATAAAAACAGTCTCCCAAATTGTTTTATCTTTCTAATAGCAAGGAGAGACATCTTTTTCTTCCTCGCTCAAAACTTCCACAGTCTTTTTTTAAATTTTTTTTTTATTATTATTGATTTCAGAGAGGAAGGGAGACTAGAGAGAGATAAAAACATCAATGATGAGAGAGAATCATTGATCGGCTGCCTCCTGCACACCCCTCACTGGGGACTGAGCCCACAACCTGGGCATGTGCCCTGACCAGGAATCGAACCATGACCTCTTGGTTCATAGGTCAACACTCAACCATTGAGCCATGCCGGCCCGGCAATTCCACATTCTTTTGAGCCACCCATTAAGTTTCTGTTTCTTGTTTGAGTGATGTCTCCAGTTTTTAGTTCATTTGTGGGGCAGAGAACTGTCTGTCCCAAGCCCAGAGGCTAAACAAACATCTCCTCATTCAGGTTGCCACCCAAACTAGTAGCCCATGAGCTCCTCTGGGTTTTGTTTCCGTGTCTCTTGGCTGTGTGCCCACCTCTCTTTTTCACCTGGGGAATGGTCTTCCGGGAGCCTACACTGCATTCAGTCCAAACCAAACAACACAACAATAATTAGAACAGACATTCCTTCCACCAAGGAACAGAGGGGTCCCACCTTCTGCTAGTTTAGGCATCACAGAAAAGCATCAAGGGAGATACATAACCGAATGCACCACAAAACTGTTGACAGATTCCCAACTCTCTACACCAAATGGGAATGATGTGCAGTCTGGAGAGTCCCAAATAATTCAAAGGCCCACGGCTGCAACCACTTGTCTTCACTTCCTTGCCCTGCAAGCTTCACCGAGCACTAGTGACATATAAAAGTGAAAGTAAGCAACCGCAATTTCTCTTCTGGCTTCTCAGCAGGAAATAGGAAAAAAGACAAAAGGTGGGGCAAGAAACACCGCCTTGGGTCAACAAAAAGCTGGAATAACAGCCACTGGTCAAGCCAGGGCCTGCGTGCTCCAAACTTGATCCACGCAGCTGCGAGCAGCGTCTACACACGCTCGCCACGGGGCTGGTAGAACTTCCCCCCAGGAGAGCTGCGTTTCGCTGTGGCCCCACACCCTACCAGACACGGCTGTTTTAAACAACTCCACAAATTCTTTGGTACTCCTCCCTTAAAAAGACACAGAGTCATCTGCTCCCCTTGAAATGTGGACCACACTTGGTAACTGGTCTTTACTAGTAATTGTTGGACTGTGGCAGAAGGGAGACTGTGACCTCCCAAGCTGGATCCCAAAAAGGCCATGGCTTCCACCTGGCTCTCTCTCGCTTCTGAACTGCTCACTCTCGGGGCAGCCAGCTGCCATGTCCTGCGAACACTCAAGCAGTCCCAGGGGAGGCCCGCAGGGGGAGCGAAGGCCTTGCAACCACTCCCCAGCCACGTGGGTGAGGCCTTGAGAAGGTCTTGGGATCTCACACCTCCCTGGCTGACCTCTGACCCTCCCTCCTGAGGGACCCTGGGCCAGAACAGCCAGTGAAGCAGCTCATAACGCCCTACTCACAGAAATTTGTTCTTCTAAGCCTCTATGTTTTGGAGTGATTTGCACACATTCTCAGATAAATAATTCATCAGCTAAGTCCTCTTCTCTCCTGCCAGGAAAAGGAAAAGGCTATAACCATGACTTAAGACTACTTCCTTTTATCCTCTGCCTAGCCCACAGATAAGGTGAGAAAACGAATTTTATATATCACATAATAATGAAGGGATATAAAAAAGGTGCCCATCTCCTTAAAACCCTATGAGAAATAAGCATTAGCAGGGAAACGAAGGGCATGATACACAGGGGGCTGACATCCTATTAAATAGCTCGCTTGTCCTCAGAGTCTGTGTAGCAGAGGCGGCTAGCCCTGCGCCCTGGCCCTTGCCTGTTGGGTGGGCAAGGCTCCCGCCCCAGCAGAGCGCTCAGGCTGGAACCAAAAGTGTCCCCTAAGAAAGCCTGACTAGGTCCCCAGTTCCATCCCCAGTTGTATTCCAAATGGTTCCTTTCTCTGCAAAGGACCCAGAGCTCTCATGATCCCCTCTAGGGGGCAGGAGCAAACAGGGAAACAGCAGCCTCAACACTGTTTACTTGTTAGCTCAGAGAGATGATTCACTTCCTCCGAGACCCTCCCTTCCGGAGAAATTCCCTCCTTTATGAAAGTCCTGGGAAGGAAGCCAGTCTCGCCCTAGCTGACGTGGGCTCAGTGGATAGAGCGTCGCCCCAGGACTGAGGGTCCGGTATGTACCTCGGTTGCAGCCTTGATCCGGGAGGCTCTCTCACATCAATCAATGTTTCTCTCTCTGTCTCTCCCCTTCCCTTCCACTCTCTCTAAAAATAAATGGGAAAATATCCTCAGGTGAGATTAACAACAACAACAAAAAGCCTAGTTTCTTCCTATGCTGTTACACAGGGGTACGGTCAGGACAGCTGTCTGGTGCCTTTATTGGGCTCCTGTGGGTTCCTGCGAGGACAGCAGCTGCCACATGGCTGTGAGCAGGCAGCTGCATGGCACAGGGCAAAAGAGGAACCAGCCTTGGAATCACAAGATCTGAGTGTAAGTTCCGCTCCCCACCTACCTGCTGGGCCTGGGCTTTGCCTAGTCCTGAAAGAGGACTGACTTACCCAGCAGTGGGGCTAAGAGAGGGGTGGGGGCCCGAGGTCAGGGCAAGGGGTCCTTACCTAATAGAACCAGAGAAAAAAGGCTAAAGCTGGAGGGGAAGCCAAGACCCACACAGGTCCCCAAAGCCGAGAACGGGACAATAAGAACAGCAAGTCTGGACGGGCCTCAGACCACGATGGCGCACCCTTTAAACATCCCTCTGGAAAGGCAGTCACTTGGAGACCAGCCTGCCGTCACGGCCGTAAAGTCACATCTCTCCTCTACCAGACGGCGAGGTGGCACGATGTCAGCTGGGAACTGCAACGTTGTTGGGCCAGCAAGAACACGGAGATAGCCCAGTCTCACGTACAGGATCAAGGGGGCGGTCACAGTGTGACACTGAACAAGTTACAGCCTTAGTTTACTCATCTGTAAAATGGGATTAGCACTGATGCCTATACTACTAGTATGCGCTTCAAAAGGGAGCAGTGGGGATCCGAGGGGGTTTCTGCCAAGATGCTTTGGACACTGTGCGTGCTTATGAATATAAGGCAGTAAATTTAAAGAAAATCAAGGCAGGCACTTCCAATCACAAAGCACGAGCCTGCGGGTGCCTCTCATGGAATCTGCCTCCTTAGCACCCAGAGAAAGGTCTCCGCCTCTGAAACTGAGATGGGCTCAGAGTAGTCAGTCTGTGTCCTCACATAGCACCGTGACTGCCTGCGCCTTCCCCGCAAATAGGGGAACAACAGCTTGGGGACTGAGTGCAAAAGAAACTTGAACAAACCAGTTCCACATTCGAAATGCCCTGGAAATTCCGCTCCTGACCCAGCACTATCTTTGTAAACTTGAATTGTTCTTCAGAAACCGCATTCCGGGAAAGGGGGGGGGGGGGTTCCTTCCGGCCACGCAGTGAGAGCGTGGCTCTTGGTGAGCCGCCAGCCCCGCCGCCAAGCACCCCCACCGCCCGCCTCTGGCTTTCTCATCTCCTGCTGCTCTGCTGGAAGAGCATGTTTACTTATTCAAGATCACAAGGGAAGCAGCAGCTGCTAGAAAAATCCCAGTCTCCGCCTGGCTAAAAAGTACAGGGACATCTTCCAGCTTTTCAGAAGGAGCAGGGAGAAAAGAGAGAGGGCGAAACACTTCTTAACGTCTTTTCGTCAGGAGCCTACACACCAACCAGACCAGCGGTTCTCAACCTTCCTAACGCCGCGACCCTTTCATACAGTTCCTCATGTTGTGGTGACCCCCAACCATAAAACTATTTTCGTTGCTACCTCATAGCTGTAATTTTGCTACTGTGATGAATCGCAATGTAAATATCTGATATGCAGGATGTATTTTCAGGGGTCGCGACCCACAGGTTGAGAACCGCTGAACCAGAGCTTTAGATCGAGGCCCCGAGTTCACCTGTCTGTGACCTGATTCATTCCCTTCTCCACTCCGCGAAGCAGGGCCTGGCACAGACGACACAACTCCACGACCGGCTTTTTAATTCTACCAAACGGAGACAATTAGCCCCAAGTCCCTACGCCTCCGTGTCTGCTCCAAGGGGAGGTCACTGTTCTCTGTGAGGATGCGCCTCAAGAACAAGCCACCAAAAAAATCACCTTATCGTCGTTCGCAGCGCGGCTCTGAGACCAGACTGCACCTCATTGCCTCCATATTTGCTTCACACAGGACCAAGCATGGGGCTTTGCATAGAGGAGGTGCTCAATAAACATGTATGGGATAAAGGAAGAATAAACCTATAAATGTTTGGGGGACTTGTACTCTCTGGGTAAAAATCTTTTTTTTCTTTTTGAGGACAGAAGATAGGTAGGTATAAGAGCGTCTGCTAAATTCTGCAGTACAGATAAATGGTTTTAGAATCGCGCTGAGATTAGAAGACCGTATTCCTTCATTCACCCGCCAAATATTTATTGGGCTCCAATGTGCCAGGTGCTGTGCCAGGTATTGGAGACACAGTAAAAAAGATGGACAAGCCCCCCCCACCCCCACACACACACACACACACGGAACTTCCATTATAGCAAAGTAGCCAAGAGCAGAGGCTGTGGAGTCAAGCTTTCAAATTCCAGAGAAGTTAGGAAGGAAGTTGACCGTGTTCTGCTTGCTCACCTTGAAAATGGGGATAATAGTACCGACCTTACAGTATTATTTACGAAGATTAAGTGAGAATCCATGTGAAGGAATTAGCACATAGTCGAGTTTAAATCAATTTTCCACTCTGATCACCACCCCTCTCAAGTTAGTCATCATATGCCTGTTCGTCTCTTTCAGATCCCTTCTCTCAGTTGGCAATGTTTCTTACCAGACTCCTACACTCTTCCCAAATGTCCAACGTTAACCACATGACTAAGTTAACCAGGCAAGAGGCAAAGGAAACCGCAGGCATCCTTCTAGATGAGGCCCCAGGCTGCTCAGATGGAAATGAACACATGAGGGGCACTCTGCGTAATTAAGACCACTGCTAGTCAAAGGCCTCGGTGAAAATCTCCAGGAGGGCAGCTGGCAAGTGAAGGGCTGGAGGCCTAGGGAGAAGGTGAGAAGAGACCGTGCCTTCCACTCGTTATATATATATATATGTATGTGTGTGTGTGTATATATAATTGATTTTTTTACAGAGAGGAAGGAAGAGGGATAGAGAATTAGAAGCATCAATGAGAGAAAAACATCAACCAGCTGCCTCCTGCACACCCCCTATTGGGGATGTGCCTACAACCAAGGTACATGCCCTTGACCGGAATCAAACCTGGGACCCTTCAGTCCGCAAGCAGATGCTCTATCCACTGAGCCAAACTGGTCAGGGCCCATTCATTTTAATCAACACTCTGCAGGGGCTCTGAGTCTCATCTGGGCTTACAATGGACCTGGGGTCCCTCAGCAGATAAACCCACAGCACAACAGGAGTAGGGTGTGCTGTCTTGTTGCTTAGCTGTTCATTGGCCACCTGAGCCCAGGAGGGGTTGTAAGAGAGGCCTCACGCCCTGTTATTTGTTTTGCTCCCAGAGGCAGGGAGGGCTTGAGTCAAGGAAGCAGACATACAAATGCACCAAAGGCCAATACCTGCTCCTACCTCAGGCCAAAGACACAGGTGCCCCGGGCTCCCCCCCACTTCTACCCTCCTTCCCATCCTCTCCAATCAGGTCTTTCTCCTCCCTCACCCGCCCCGGGCCCTGGCCTTGGACTCAGATTCTCTGTCTCTGCCAAGCCCGTTCACACTGATGACTGGTAGGAGTGGTCTGGCTAGCTTTCCACTTGGGTGTTTCCTCAGAAGTTGCAGCCTCTCAAGTTACCCCTCCATCCCACCCAGCTCCGGCCTGTGGGGACCTGCCCCACTCAGCCGGGCCCAGCACAGGCCTCAGCCCCCAGTTCTCTAGGCCCTCACTCGTCTGGGATCAGACTCCTTGTACCACACACAAAGCCATGCAAGTTCTAGCTTAGTGGTGTGCAACCAAAGTTAAACACACGAACTGGGAAAAGAATGTCAGCTGGCATTCAGTACCTGTTTACAGTGGACCAGGCACCACTCTAAGCCCAACCTTCCTGTGAGGTAGGTCCTGTTACTAATCCATTTTACAGAATAGAAACTGAGGCATAGAGAGGAAAATCGCCAGAGGTCACAAGCTAGCACATGACAGAGCCATCATTCATACCCATGCAGCAGTCATATTCCAGAGCCCAACTCTGACCGCACTCCTGAAATGCAGAAATACACAAATACACATTCAGTCCCTGCCGGCAAGAGGCCCATAACCCAGCACGGGAAGCAAGCACAGACAATGGGTTTTAGCCACAAATTCACAGCAGATCATGGCTTTATCTGTGTAATTCTCTTTATGCCAGATGTACATCCCGTGCCATGTGCGTCTGGGAACTCAAAGGAACGAAACGGAACTGATTAAAATGGAAAGCAGAAGAGCTACACCGTCTCTTTTAAAGCAGAATTTACTCATTGAGAAAATACGTGCTCCTCTTATGTGGGTACTAATGGCTACAAAAGGAAGGACACTTACTTATACCGAGAAACCAGCATTTCTCACATCTAACCAAAAATAGGACATGAGAAAGAGAGATCACATCAGAAATCCTGGGACATCCAGCTTAAGGGTTTCTAATTTGATCTTCTGTCAGATTCTCTGTCCATACATCTCTCCATGGTAACATTTTATGTGAGCCTAAAAGCTAGCTCTGGTTCATTCTGAGAGAATGTTGGAAAGCCGGAAGGAAACTGGGGAGACAGGACGACCAATCCTTTTAAGGAAGAGATAGGGAATTAAACATGTTATTCCACTTAACTAGCGTTTTCTCATTCTCTTTAGATGCATCACCAGTGACTGATGTCATTTGAGTCACCACAATTGGACAAAAGAATCAACCCAGATCCAAACAATGGTGGCACACACATAGCTCAGACTCAGGGCAACACCCACAGTGCAGAACTAAGTGACACACTGCCTCTGACAGAACACACACATCATATTTTTAATGTTCCCCAGAAAAACGTTCACGGTCTCTCTGGGTGAATGATGAGGCATCTGGTAATACTGAAACCCAGAAAGCCTTCCATCCCACCACCCTCCCCGGGCCCAGGACTCCTCTCTGCCACAGCATCCAGCATGGGAAGACAAGGCTAAAGCTCAGCAACTTGCACAAACTACGCCTTTGTGCCGGACAACATGCTCTGTGTTCCCCAGATCCCCTTTCAGTTTCCTCCTGACACACAGCTAGACTGAGTTCTTTGTCTGCTGGGGTTGGGTGAAGCCATACAAGTGAGTTTGCCCAGTGGAATGTGGGGTGGAAATGATGCAGACCATCTGGCTGCTGTGTCTCGATGATTCAGCATCGACCTATGAACCAGAAGGTCACATGCCTGGGTTGCAGGCTCGATCCCCAGTGTGGGGGGAGCGGGGAGGACGCCGATCTCTCATCATCGATGTTTCTATCTTTCTACCCCTCTCTCTTCCTCTCTCTCCAAAAATCAATAAAAACATATTTTTAAGAAATTGGGCATACCACTCTGAGGCCTGGTCCCCAAATGCATGTGGGATCATGCATTCCCTTCATCCACCAGCCAGACAGAGAGGTTCCTGTGGGAAACTCCAGGGTCTCCAAAGATGGAGCCACTAAATAACCACATGGAACCCCAGCCCAGCGGTTTTCAACCCTTTCCATCTCATGGCACACAGAGACCAATGACTAAAATTCTGCGGCACACCAAAGAACTGTTTCTGCTGATCTGACCAAAAAAAAAAAAAAGAGGTATAATTTTTTTTGCTACTGTGGTGTTAGCTGTTCTCATTTTTTTATCTGACAATCTAAGGGAAAAGAGGTCAGCGCCCCTGGCTAAATATAGTCAGGTATGGCATGTTGTAAACATCCTTGCAGCGCACCACTTGAAAATTCGCTGCCTTAGCCCAATCCACACTGGACTGTGACCTGAAAGGGAAACTCCCCTTCATGGAGAGGTGGGCAGTGGTCTGCGAGAGCCGCGAGTGCTCCTCAGGCCAGCGGGTGTAGCCTGCCTGTGCCGTGGCCTCACTCTGGAGGCAGCAGTTACCCTACAGCAGCCACACCTACCTGTGTCGTTGCCGATGCAATCCAGTATCAGGCAGATTCCCAAGGGCTTGCTCTGCATCTTGTACCTGTCCTCTGGGATGGGCTGGAAAACAAAGCAGGGATTGTTAAAGACTCTGGCACCGCTGTTTCCGCAAGGTCTCCCCTGTGTGCCAACTTTCCTTCTGGATTTTCTTAAACAGCCCTTGGGCAGGAAGTCAGTCAACAGACAGAGCCTGACGTAGTCACAGTTGACATTTCCATTTAATATCAAATGGTTCCTCTATTCAGGGAATGTGCTTCAGACAACAAGCTATTTCTGTTTTTATTTCATTTTAAGGAGAATCACAGTCTCTTTACATGTGTCCTAGCTTTGCAGGAGAAACATCATTTGAAACAGAGAGAAAAGATGGGTCACATATTTCTCAGGAACCTCAGTTTGTACAAGTGCTATCAAACGAGTACAAAAGGCGGCCCCCTATTGCCTCTCCTTACAGAGGTTATCAGCCCAAGAAAAAGCAAGTCAAGGCTCAGTGTCTGGGCTTCCTGGTACACTCAGGAATGACTCAGCTGACCAGGGACGTGGCCCTTGGCATTTCTCTGCATTCCAAAGTTCACAAACACAATCCACTCCAGCATTTTTCTCTTCGCTATGTCCACGGTTCCCTTTCAGAAGAATTCTCAGGAGACTGACGCTCTCAGAATCCTATCACTGTCACTAGAAATTCTTAACGGACAGATATTTTTAAAGAAGCCAGTGTTCTCCACAGAGCGTGTGCGTGCGGTGCCATCCCAAATGAGAAAATGGATTCTGTACCCGAGGCAGGAATGCTCCTGATTCTTGAACGGACGTCTTCACTGGTTCTCCTGCGGGATGAGAGGGAAATCACTTAAAAGCTGAAGGAGATTTAGCCCACTCCATGCTGGCTGCGTTTCTTCATATCACAAGTGTCTCTTCCCCTATTTCTTCCCCCCACTATCTCTTCTCTCCTCAGCCATACTCAGCCCCAGGGTTCCGACCCTGCACTGTGAAACCTAACCGATATACCCGGCCAGCATGGCTCAGCAGTTGAGCATCGACCCAGAAAACCAAGAGGTCGCTGGTTCGATTCCAGGCCAGGGCACATGTCCACATTTCTGGCTCAATCCCCAGTGGCAGCCCATCAATGATGTTCCTCTCTCATCGATGTTTCTATCTCTCTCTCCTTCTCCCTCTCCCTCTCCCTTCCTCTCTTTGTAAAAATCAATAAAAACATATTTTTAAAAAAGAAAACCTGATAAGGTAACCCAAGTTTCTGTGCTAAAGAAGGGTCATGTAGAAAAACTGCTTAAGTAGCAAGTGAGAGAAGGCTTCTCCAGGTGAGGACCAGGTAACTGCTGAGTTTTTAACTTGAGAATCTAATACCTTCACCACCAACAATACCAATAGCTTTCCTACCTGTGCTAAAACTGTGGGCAACACCCAAGGGAACAGCCTTAGAGACTGAACAGATGGCCAGGTTTTCTTAGCCCAGTGATACTGGGAGATCGTAGCATTAAATGTCAATGGCAAGATCGGGGACAGTGAGCTTAGCAAATGTAGGTGAGCCTACAGCACATTTTGTTAGATAAAAATGACTTTATTAGCCCAGGGAGGTAGAGAAATGATCAGTTTTAAGGCCATAAAGGGCTGGCACGAACCCTAGCACCATGACAAACAAGCTCTGTGAACTTGGGCAAGTTTCTTCCTGAAGTCTCAGGGGATTTTTAAATCTCTAAGGTGAACAAACCAAAATCTATACTACTGTTGCAAAAATGAGAAATAATGTCTAAAGACAGGCCAAGAAAATGCCAGGAATGATAAGGCTTGGGGGAAATGAGCATTTTCAAAGCTGTAAAAGTTGAATCACTCTTTTTAAAGAACAACTAGCAACACCCTTTAAAACAACATCCTGCTTCTAGAAGTTTATCTTATGAAAATAATAGAGAAAGTATGCAAAAATGTCAAGGACATCTACTGAAGGACTGCCCCAAGCTAGAAAGAAACTAAAAGTCTACCCATATGAAACAGGGTAAATAAATTATCCTATATAATAAAAGGGTAAAATGCAAATTGACCAAACGGCAGAATGACCAGTTGCTATGATGTGCACTGACCACCAGGGGACAGTCGCTCAACACAGGAGGTGCCCCCTGGTAGTCAGGGCACTCACACAGGGCTAATGGCTGGCAAGTGCAGTGGCCCGCCTCCACAGCAGCGCTAAAGATGTCCAACTGCGGCTTAGGCTGTCAGTTCGACATCTCCCTAGGGCTCCTGGACTGCGAAAGGGCACAGGCTGGGCTGAGAGGTGCCACACACCCCCCATCCCTCACAGTGCACTGGGCCTCTAGTGTCCATATAATGCAATACTATGCAATGTTAAAAAGGATAAGAGATCTTTATGTATTTGACATGAAAAGATATGCAGAATATATTGAGTAACAAATGGATTACTAAATATTATAATATTGATCCAGTATACTTAAAAATATGTATTTGTGTGCATATATTTATACATCTATATGTGAAAAATAAGAGTCTTAGAGGTATATAAATCAAACATTAATCAGATTATGTTGATACTTGTAATTAAGAGAAAATTTCACTTTGTCTTTTTGTATTTTAGCAATCATGGATTAACAGAATTTTTAAAAGCACAGAATGATCTCTGTAATATGCCTTTCTCCATTTAAGGCACCTAGTAAGAGCTTCATAAATTGTATCATCATCATTATCATCATTCAGATGAGATCTATTTAGAAATCCAAATTAATATGAATACGGGGCTTGATCATTTTAAACTTCTATTAGATTAAGGCCAAGAATGCGTTCTTCCTTTATTAGCAAATCAACCATGCCCAGGCCAAAGCAGCTCTCCCAGGATCACCAGGGTGTGGAGAGCTTCACTTACCTCGCCTGTGCAAGTCCAATCAAGAACAAACCTGCCATTAACGCAGTGGAAAGAACACAGATTGCTTTTAATTCCTATCCAGATCTACCAGGTTTCCTATTTCCCTTTAAACAGCATTCAGAATGCTAATGCTCACCACACCTCACCAGCGTTTTAAGAAATGCTGTCACTTCAGGAATCAATTCGCTCCTCTGTAGCTTTTCCTGGAGCACAGAATTTTAGGTATGAAATGACAGGCATGGGCTTCTCCATCTGGCTAATCAGGCAAAATGCTTTTCCGTTTCCAAGTGCACGCAGACAGCAGACAGGCTGCCACGCAAAGATAGCTTCCATCAGGCCACTGCCCTACTACAATGTTCACGATCTCCACTGCACACAGGACCAGGTCCAAGCTCCTCGGGTAAGACCGGGCCCTCCTTACCTGCCTAGCCATCCCTGCCTGCCTCCGGGAGTCCTGAGCCATCTCCAGGACTGCAGTGTGACTGACTCAGCCTCGCTTCAAGGAGGTCTCAAGACAAGCAAAAGAAATACACTTTTAAAAATAGGTGGGAGTGCGTGCTGCTGTCAGAGAGATGAGAGAGGTCATACAGGTTGAAATTACTAGTTTTTTAAATTGTATTTTTTTCCTTTCTTTTTAGGAGAGGGGGATGTCATCTATAGAGTACCTAGACTTATTAAATGGACTTGAACACAAGATCTTAGTAACCTTTCTTCTTCCTGCTGCTAGATATTTGGTTTAACGTGACTCATTAGATTAATGTTTAATGTGGCCTGGTTATTGTTTCATTTCAGGCAGAAATATATAGCCAAGAAGATGAAGCTGGGAGAGTAAGAGGTGTTTAAATTCAACTAAGTAAGTTCGGTAAGTAACTAGAAATGCCGATGAATACATTTTAAGAGTTTAACTGCATTGGGGGAGCTTTAATGAGACTGTATAGATAAAGAAAACAGCCAACTCTAAAAAAGAAAACATTTTGTACTAGAATTATCAAGTATTTACAAGAAAAAATATGAAGAGAAGTCAGTCTTACTTTGAATGTCAGGATGGCTCACCATGGGTCTTTGTCCTTTACTCCTCCCATTCTGAAGCTTCAAATATAAAGAATAAGGTCACAGTCCCTGTTAGTTTTTTCAGAGTCACATTATGTTACACCTCTTTAAATATTTCTATAGAATTTTTACCCAGGAAAAAACAAAAATATCACATTCACTGTTAAATTATCTAAAGAAGAAGAGCAAGAGCTATTAACTCCATGAATCCTACATCTTGTAGCCAAAGAACAAGGCAACTTTCTTTTCAAGAAGTGAAAATACAATTAACATGTAAATATGCTAAATTAGCATATTAGAATGTTTCAAAAGAGCTCAATAAAGTCAGCTGTCATGGTAATAGTAGAATTGCTATAAAAGCTCCAAGACAGCCCAACTAGGTGTGGCTCAGTGGTTGAGCATTGACCCATGAACAGGAGGTCATGGTTTGATTCCTGGTCAGGGCACATGCTCAATCCCCATTGGAGGGGAGGGGAAAGGGTGCACAGGAGGCAGCCAATCAATGTTTCTCTCTCATCATTGATGTTTTTATATCTCTCTCTCCTCCCTTCCTCTCTGAAATCAATAAAAAAAAAAAGAGTTCCAAGACAGAACAAGCTGTTGAAACATGCAATTGACCTTAAACCTGATCATTTAACACAGAGGCAATGTATGTATGGTTAAGAGTGGGAGTTCTAGCTCAAATAAACCTGGCTATAAATTTTGTTTCTGCCACTTACTAGCTATGTAACCTCAAGCAAGTTATTTAACCTTTATTTATCTGTTTCTTTATCCTCAAAATGAGGACAATAGTGGTACCTACCTTATACATTTTTGTGAAGGTTAAATGTATTCAAAGCACTCAGGACAGTACTTAGCACATGAAGTGCTTAGTCCAGTTACTGTTTTTCTGTAATTGCCTAGCTAAACATAAGCCACATGTGGGCTTGATTCTCGATAACAGCTACCACTTCTGAGGGCTACCGTGGGATTAATCAGAGAATTAAAGATTGAACCGACCCTTTCTTCTCAGATGACAGGTCCTGTGTAAGGTACACATCCCACATACTGTCAACCATCTGATACGCTCAGCTTTCAAATGACAGTTTCTCCACTGAAGCTATCCTAGCCAAAAGAGAGAAGTAGACTGTTCATTACACTGTCTTTAGCTAAGTCTGTGTGTCTAAAGTAAAGAAAAGCATGTAACCAGTGACGTAGCCACAGGTTGATGATATTAAGTAGAAGTTCAAGCTCCACATGGATATGCATTCATTTTTACATACTATTAAAGATATATAACATTAAGTCGAAGCTAGATTTAAGAAGCATTATACTGAGCCCTTATACGGTGTGGCTCAGGTGGTTGAGTGTCATCCCGTACACAGAAAGGTCAGCAGTTTGATTTCCAGTCGGGGCACAAGCCCATGGTGCATTCGGAAGGCAACAGATTGATGTTTCTCTCACATCAATGTTTTTCTCTCCCTCCTTCTCTCTCCCTCTCCCTTCCTCTCTCTCTAAAATCAATGTTAAAAATATATTTATTTTAAAAAGCATATTACAAAGAAATAAATGAAATTAAATAAGCATTATATTGCAGTGTCATACAACTTTTTTATTCTATAATATGTTGGTATCATGTGCCATTTAATGCCACCGTATCTATTTTTATTGATTTGAGAGAGAGAGGAAGGGAAAGGGATAGAGAGATAGAAATCTCGATCAGTTGCCTCCTGCGTGTCCCCCATGCAACCAGGGCATGTGCCCTGACCAGGAATCGAACCGGGGACCTCTTGGTTCAGGGGTTGATGCTCAACCACTGAGCAACACCAGCTGGGCTGCCACCATAACTTTTAAAGCACTTTTGCAGCCATGTATGAGTTAATATCTAGGTATCCGGCTCCTAAATCTTGTGAGAAATTCACTGAATTCATGTGCTACAGTGCCTGCTTATTAAATAAATGAATGATCAGGGTCACAGATTAATATAGCAAATTTAAGGAGAAGTTTACACATAGAGCATGTGAGTTCTCAATGGGCTACAAAGATAGTGAATACAATTACTTTCATTAACAAAATAGAAAGACAATAGTAAAAATGGGGCAGACTTTTAACTAAGAATGGTGACATAATTGATATTAGAGAGACAATAGCAGAGAAAGCTCAGAAAACCTGAGTCAGCATCCTAAATCAGTTTTGTCTCATCATTTAATATCACAGAGGTTCAGAAAGACAAAAGCAAGCATAATTGGTTCTTGGAAAACGACAGACATATCTAAGCGATGGTGTATCTAGTACGTAGTTTAGTACATACACCTCGGTGTAGAGGAAGGCACAGGGGCTGGGCCCAGTTCTGGTGAGAGCTGGAGGTGGGCAATCACTCAGCGTTCTTTAGGACTATGTTTTCGTATTTATTCAGTGAGGGGGCTGGACAGTATAATCCTCATCATCCCTTTCAGCTCTGAAATTCTATTGCTCAGTGGCATCTCTTACAGCTCATGTTCTTCATGAAGCTATTTCTATCATAGGGGTAGTTAATGTTTTCATCACATACTTTTATGAAAGTCTTTATCATTTAACCATGAAATTGCACTCTGATCTACGTCCTCATTACAAATTCCACATATCTTTATATGAGGATGAGGATGAGATTATACTAAGATAGACTTCTCAGAATAAAACATACTTATGTTCACAGATCAATAACATCTCTCGCCCTGGCCGGGTTTGCTCAGTGGTTAGAGGGTTGGACTGCGGACTGAAAGGTCCCAGGTTTGATTCTGGTCAGGGGCACATGCCCTGGTTGTGGGCTCTGTCCCCAGTGGGAGGCTTGCAGGAGGCAGCCGATCCATGATTCTCTTACATCATTGATGTTCCTCTCTCTCCCTCTCTGTCCTCTCTGAAATTAATAAAAATATATTTTTTTAAAAATCTCTCAATAACAAAAATGAAAGGGTTAATCAAGAAACAGGGCTAACTCAGCAGGGGCTAACAAAAGAAAGCTCGGTTCTGCAAGCCTAAGCCTTGCACACAACATGATCCCCTTGAGTGGTTATTTTACAGAAATTCCTGAAGACCATAACTCCTGCGCAGCCCCCAGGAAGGACAAAGGGCAAGGCCGTAAAACTACGACCAACAACGGACTGGGCAAGGTCCCGATCCGGGCAAGGTCCTGATCCGTGTGTCACCCTAAAGCTATCTGCAAGCGCTCCCTACGCGCATAAAAAGCCTGCTCCCTCCCCATTCGCCACTGATTTCTTTTTCAAACTCAGTCCACCTGCACCCAGGTGCCTTGAGTAAATATCTTTTTGACTACACTGAGCCTTGAGTCAGTTCTGTGAGATCCCGGCCCAACTCTGAACCTTTCAAAAAACACTTTTGCTGACATCATTAAAATAAGCTCAATAAAAAGCAAATGCCCAGAGAGGTAAATACAAAAGTATTTATTTGGAATTATTTTTTGTCAAAACAAAAGATTAGAAATAAGTTGTTACATATATATGTTTTATATACATAGGCACATTTCTACCACAATTTTTTCAAGTGTTAAGTAGAGTACATAGTGTAAGAATATATATTTTTTAATTAAATTTCTGAAGCTTTTTCATGCTGGGATTCCACACATTTGCTCCAGACTCACCCTTAAGTTATACGAAGGGTCCTTAATACTCAAGTTTGGGAGAGATGCCTGGAGGCCATTTACATAACTTGATTCTGCTCCTTGAGCTGTAAGCAGAAGAGAGTTAAGGTTTACCAACTATTATTAAATGAATCTCCAATGATAGCTCAGTACAAGGTCAATCATCATCTTTGAAAATACCCTAAACTTTCCAGCCACCTTACTTAATTCAAAATATCAGATCAGATGACTCTTCTTCCACCAGCATCATTAAGAAAGGACTAAAAATGTTACTCTTGTACTTAATCTTTTATCAGTCATTTGGGGTAGAATAGGAGGCAGGGGCGGGGAGGGGCAGTTCTGTAGATCTCTGGGTCTCAGCCATGTCCTTTAGGCTGTGACTCTGGGGGCAGTAGACTGCTAACAGGCCCCAAGCTGAGGCTGAGTCTAAAGGACAATGGGGGCGGGGGACATGCCAGAGAAGGCCAGCGTGAACCTGGTCCCCTTTACCAAGGGAGGGGTTTTCAGCAGAACAGATGCCCTTTTTCATGAGAAGATTTTGTGAAACTCAAAACATATGCAGGAAAGCAATGGAAGCCCAGTGACAAGATCCCACCCAGAGTTGTATGGTGATCAGGTCAAACGCTGGAGCAAGGCAGCAGGGCATATCCTCAAAAGCCCTGAATGTCCACAGCACCTCCACCAGGTACAGAAAATAGGGGTGCAAACTCTTTCTTGGAGGTGGGAATGTTAAGAACTGCTTGGTGGCATGTTGGAGAAGGCCAAGACTCTTGGGTCATGGGCGTGGGGCGATGAAGTCAGCAGATCTGGGATATGAAAGATATAAAGGGATATGATCTCTAATCACAGGCTATCAGGGGGCTGTGAACATTCAGGTGCTTTCCATCCACCCAACAATGGATATTTACCAACCAAATCTACCCTGCACAGGGTGCTTTCCTTAGACCACGGAAAGGCCAAAATTCTGCTTACCAGACTGCTTGTATTTCTGGATTTTTGTCTTCAGGTCTATTCTATGGATGTTCTTCAGACATTTTTCTAATAATTCCAATTGATCTGGAGCAACCAGATTTAGCTTCTCCAATTCCATCACAAGATCCAAGAAGCTCTAAGAGAGACACCAACAAGAAATAAATGTCAGTAGGGCTGACGATTAAGTCCCAAATGCAAAATTCAGGCTGTGGGTTTTTAACAGCAAGAAACGGTGACAAGGGGAGCTCCTTCAGACCTTCAGGGATCCTAAACTAGACTTCTCTGCTTGATAGGCCTTCCAGGGCCAGGTGCAAACTACTCTCCTGAAGTTTACTCAGCAAAGAGGCAGTGGGAAGTCTTTTGGTGGCCAACCTGTGTCTAGGTTGGGAATGGACACATGGCCATTTTGTGTCATCAAGGAATATGGTGAGAGAGCGGACCTAAAAATACAGTAAAATCCTCCCAAGCTGCTTCTCTTTCAAACAGGCTGGTGTTATTGTAAAAAAACACTAAGGGCCCTAGCCGGCTTGGCTCAGTGGATAGAGCATCAGCCCGCGGACTGAAGGGTCCCAGGTTCGATTCCGGCCGAGGGCACATGCCTGGGTTGCGGGCTCGTTCCCCAGTAGTGGGTGTGCAGAAGGCAGCTAATCAATGATTCTCTCTCATCATTGATGTTTCTATCTCTCTCTCCTTCTCCCTCCCTCTCTGAAATCAATAAAGAAATATATATTTTAAAAAAATTAAAAAAACACTAAGGGCTTTCCTAAAAAAGGAAGAGAGAAGGTAGTTTGGGGGAATCTTTTTACTAGGAAAACCCCAATGATACCGTTTTGAAGTTCCTCACATTTTTAATCAATGCTGGCCATTCCAACTCACTCTGATTCAGAGGATATGAGGAGGCAAAATTTCAAGGTCAGGGCATTTTGTTACTCAGGCATTGCCTTTGGTTTCACCTCCCTTCTGCTTAACATTTGTTTGCTGACGTGCTATTTTTATTCTAAAATAGAATAACCATGCCCTAGCCAGTTTTGCTCAGTGGATAGAGCATCGGCCTGGGGACTGAAGGGTCCCAGGTTCGATTCCAGCCAAGGACACATGCCCAGGTTGTGGGCTCGATCCCCAGTATGGGGCATGCAGGAGGCAGCCAATCAATGATTCTCTCTCCCTCTCCCTTCTCCCTTCTTCTCTGAAATCAAAAAAATTATATTAAAAAAAAACAACAACCCCATACTGTTCTCACTTTCTGCCTTCCCTCACCCCCAGCTTGGGCCTCCCTGCTCAAACGCCTGCTTCCCTCTCTTCACACCATAGAGAGTGTCCTCCAACTTCTGACGGGCTCTTGGGAATATTAACCAAGAAAAAGAAAACGCACCTTATCCTTGGCTGTCTTGCCTCGGCCCATATAATCCTTCATGAGAAAAATTAATGAGGACATATCAGATTTATCCAAATGTTCACCAATCTCAGCCATCAGCACCCTGTGAAACAGACAAGTTTCTTTAGTAAATTCAGGTTACCAGTCCCAGTGAGACCACCAAGAACCCGTGCCTCCTCTATGCCAACAATTGGTTAAAAGACTAGTTCTTGTCCCCATTTGAATGTGCCCCCCATAAGACAGAAAGCCTAGATCACCCCAGAAGGAGACCTTAAGGGAACTCCAAAAGATAACGCATCTTTTCCCGTTTTCAGTAGGAGATGGTACTTCTCTTTCCAAATAACTACTCTGAAAACAACTCAGAGAATAAAAACTTCCCTAAAGAATCCCCTAGCTCCCCCAGAAGTTATGAAGAAATAAGTAAAGAACCTGAATGACTAAGATGAAGACACAAATAGAATTGAAAATGATCTTCTCTGTTGAACAACCTCCCTGATGCTGATGCTGATGCTGATCCATGGACCATACTTTGAGTCACAAGATTCTAAAGCAAACACCCGGCTCACTCTGAAACTCAAAGTGTAAAGATCATGGAGAGCCTGGGGATTGTGACCGCAGAGGTCCTGCTCTAGAAAGCCCCTCCTAACTCAGTCAGTCACCTCTGCTCCAGTAAGAGCTACCATCATGCTTTATTGGGCTTAAGGGCTGTTTTCCCAATTAGACTCACAGAATCTTGAGTATGGAAGAGTCTTCACTTACTTTGCTCTAGCACTTTCCAAATACCAGGCTGGCATATATCAACCCACAAAAACAAAAGCTACTTAACAAATAAATAAATGTCCCTAGCCCAGTTTGGCTCAGTGGATAGGGCATCAGCTTGAAGACTGAAGGGTCCCAGGTTCGATTCCAGTCAAGGGCACATGCCCGGGTTGTAGGTTCGATCCCCAGAAGGGGGCATGCAGGAGGCAGCTGATCAATGATTCTCTCTCATCATTGATGTTTCTATCTCTCTCTACCTCTCCTTTGCTCTCTGATATTAATTTTAAAAAATACATTTAAAAAAATGAATACATAAATCTAGCACTCCCCTCCCATTGCCTGGCCTTTCTGCCAAAAGGCCCTGAGAAACTGCCTCCCCACTCACCAACCATAAGAAATAGTAAATGTTGAGTGCCCCCTAACTTATTCACAAAAACCCAGTTGGTGCCTCCCAAAAAGTTTTAAGGTTACTGATATTATATGATGGTTATGATGCTTGGAGAAGTGGAAAATGACCAAGAATAACAACAGCAACAATTTTTACATTCGCAGAGTGCTTTACAGTTTTAAAAGGTACTTCACATGCTAGATTATCACAATTGAGCCTCACAAACAACTTGTGAAATTAGGTATTTTATTATTCTTAGCTTTACCTCTAGGATAAAAAAGGCCCAACCAATGTTAGTGGCTGGATCAGCTAACCAGGCCTGCACCTGACAGTTTTGAGGCTTGAATCAGGACTTCAGACCTCAAGTCTCAGACACTTCCCAAGGCCCACATTGCTTTCAACTCTCTTTAATATATTTTTTAATAATACACATCATCTCCAACTATACATTATTGATATAATAAAGGCTGGTGGCCCAGCTGGTGTAATTCAGTGGATTGAGCATTGGCCCATGCACCAAGAAAGAGGTCACTGGTTCAATTCCCAATCAGGGCACATGCCCGGGTTTCGGGCTCAATATCCAGTAGGGGGTGTGCAAGAGGCAGCTGATTGATGTTTCTATCTCCCTCTCCCTTTCTCTCTCTCTCAAATCAATAAAAACATATGTTAAAAAAAAAAATAACTCAAGGCTGGTGGTCTGGAGAAAAAGGAACTGCTAATTTAAGCAGTTCCCAACAAGTTTTAAGGTTACTGATATTATATGATGGTTGGAGAAATGGCTTCTGTGCACCCCAGAACCTCTAAGAGCACTTTGTGTGAACAAAAGGAGCAACTTAAAGGCTGTATGAACTAAAGGGGACTCCAGCGGATGTTCCTCTCTGAAAGGGGATGAGATGTGGTCTTTCTTAGCTTGACATGTCTGGACATGGTAATTTCCATACTGAGGCTGGAATTTTCATACAGAAGCATCTGGAAGTAGGAACTTCCCAGAAACTCACAAGAAGGAAGTCCAAACCACTAGTTTCCTCAGGAACAATTAGAGTTCCACAAAGATCATCATCTGACTTGTTTCTATGTGTTTGGCTCTTTGTTTATCAGTTTATATTGTTCATTATATTCCACAAATGAGTGAGATCATGTGGTACTTATCTGACTTGTTATTTCCTTTCTCAATATGGAAAATTGCCAGTTCTGACATCATAGAAAATAATCTAACAGAGACCACTATAGATCTCACAGAGGCTGCAAGAATCACCAGGTCTTGGCCCAGGTGAAGCTCAGTGGGTTAGAGTGTTGCCCCGATACTCCAATACTATGCGGGCTGGTCAGGACACTTACAAGAATCAACCAATGAACGCATAAGTAAGTGAGACAAAAAAATCTCCCTCTCTCTTTCTCTCTCTCTCTCTCTCTCTCTCTCTCTCTCTCTCTCTCTCTCAAATCAATAAATTAAAAAAAAAATTTACTAGGTCTTAGTCGTGCCCATTTCTCTTACTCTATCCATAGGGCAAATACATATCATCTATCACTTCCACTGTCATTATGATCTACTACTACCCAACTATTAAAGAAAACACCATCTAGAAATTCAAAGAGCTTAAAGCAGTGGTTCTCAACCTTCCTAATGCCGCGACCCTTTAATACAGTTCCTCATGTTGTGGTGACCCCCAATTTCATTATTACAAATTGAACATAATTAAAGCATAGTGATTCATCACAAAAACAATGTGTAATTATATATATGTCTTAGGCGACCCCTGTGAAAGGGTCGTTCGACCCCCAAAGGGGTCGCGACCCACAGGTTGAGAACCGCTGTGCCTTAAAGGAATGAAGTAACATTATACAGCCGTTGGATCAGTGAGCAGAGGAAATAACGAAGCTGCTTTTCTCACTGTCCTTGTTTCTCTCGTTCAGAAGTCTCAACCACCTGCCTCCCTCCCAGCCTCAGCCTTACCTGTAGTCTGAAACAAGATGTGGGTGTCCGAGCAGGTGGGCCTCCACTGCCCTTTTGTCCATCTTCAAGATCCGCTTGAGCAGGTCAAACCGCCTCACTCTGTAGAGCAGCTCAGCCAGGCCCATGTGAGACAGCTTTCCTCTTTCATTTAAACTGTCCAAAAGGTCCCTGACGTTAAATGCGGACACATCTGCAACAACGTCTCGGCACAGAAACAGGAGCATCTCCCTCTCATCTTCATCGAGCGCCTCGTCAATCTGATGAATGACCTCAGCAAACATCCTGCAGAGTGCCTCGCAGGGGCAAGACGCCAGTCCAGTCAACAGAAGGCCATGAGGCCACTGACTTCATTTCTGATGGGCTTCTTCATTTCTTTCAGAATCCTTTCCAATGGAGGTGTTCTGTGGTTAAAAGGGAATTTTTTTAAAAATCTTCTTATCAAAGGAACTTATGCTTAAAATTCAAAATAGGGGCTTTTCCTTTCTTGCTGGTCTCCAGGAGATTAAATTCATATTGTGAAGTCTACAAAGAGCGACCCTCAATAGACAAACGGATCCAAAACCAAGACAAAGAAAATAATTTACATTTTAAGGCAAATAAAATCAGAGACAAAATTTCCCCCCAAAACACCCACACGCTTACCAGAAATTATTAGAATGTATGATGTGGTGAGGAATGTATGAAATCATACAAGAAGTTGATTAAACTTGGAAAGAAAATAGGTTGTGACTAAATGGCAAATTTTACTAGAGGAGGAAAAACCCAATTACTAAGCAGCTGAGAGGACAGACGAAACTGGCATCACAAGAGTTAACTTCCTCTTTCCGTGACCTAGCCCAGGCAAGCTGACACAAAGGGACCGGCCCTCTGTGGGGGATCAAAAATAATGGGAGAAAGAGGCATCTATTCCTACTTCTCCTACTTTAAAATCCCTCATTCTACCTGTACGTAACAAACCTTCACTGCCATCCTCCCAACGTCCCAGGCTTTTTTCACGGCTTCACCATGAATGCTTGTAGGACCCGCCACCACAGCTGAACCTTGTCCAGTTCTGATCCCCTCTTTGTGGCCACCCTCCCCCCTGGAAGTTCCAGGGCAGCAATTGTCACTAGAGTTCCTGACGGTACCAGTGGAAGGAAGGAAGTGGAACAGATGTGGGGAAAGATCCCAGTCCTGGGATGGGATCTGGGTGGGAGTGGTGGGGAGGCCATGCCATGGGTACATTCTGAACTTCTTTCAGTGGAACACAACCTATTTTCTTTCCAAGTTTAAGCTGCAAATGGCAGTCACCATCTATTCTAAAGTTTCATGGCTATGTTTTACGCTTAAAAATGTTAGTGTTCTGGGAGAGTAGTACCTAGTCTGTTTCTATCAGAGAACCTTGGGGGTTAAAAGCTAACCACAGCAAATAAATAACTGGAAACACAACCCAACTGCAAGGTGTTGTTGCTACATATTTGCATACAAGTATATTTATATACTTATGTAGCTAAACTTAGTGAAAAGAACACTGAATCTATTTTATTTATTTATAAATAATTTTTATTTATATATAATCTCAGTCCACAAAAGATTTGAGGCATCTTAAATAAAATTTCATAAGCAGGAAAATTTTATATACGTAAACAAAGGAAAAAATTAGGTTACAAAGTTGAAATGGGTTGGAGTGGTAAATACAATGCAAACATGCAGGCCAGAAAGGCCTAAACAGATTTTAGTAGGCTGTGAATTTGTCCCTGAGCTCCCTGGCAGTCAAAGCAAAAAGGGGTATTTGGGACATTAAATATATAGTTCTTGCTGTCAAAGAAAAGAAAAACAAAACAGATTCTTAGAGGAAGCACAATTTTCCTAAAATTCCAGAACTATCCATCAATGAAAATATTAAAGAGTCTGAAAGTAATAAAATTACATTTATTTTATTTCTTAAAATTTTTAAATATTTTATTTTAAAATAGACCATTCATTCATACTTTTCACACTGGCCTCCCACTACCAGTGTAAATGGGTGAGCTCTTAATAAAAATAGACATTTTATCTAATGTATACTTGTTAATAAGTATTGATGTGTCTACACCAATCCCATTCCCATTCATCCAAAATTCACTTACATATGGCCTCTTGTGAATAATTAGAGTAATGCAATTTACAAAATTATTGCTCAATGAAAGTAAAAAGTAACTGGTACTCAAACTATTTTTTTCATCTGAAAGCTGAATATTAATTTTATGTGTTTCAGAAAGCCTAAATCTATACTCTACTCATAGGCATGTTAATAGCCACTAGTTTCCATTAAATGAGGTCAAGTTCTTTCTTTATTCACTAAAAGTCACAATTTTGTTAGTAGTTTTTATAAATTAACCTATAAAATATTTATATACAGCCCAGCTGGTGGGCTCAGCAGTTGAGCAATGACCAGGAACTAAGAGGTTTCTGGTTCAATTCCCAGTCAGGGAAGGTGCCAGGTTGTAAGCTCGATCCCCAGTAGGGGCTGTGCAGGAGGCAGCAAATCAATAATTCTCTCTCATCATTGATATTTCTATCTCTCTCTCCCTCTCCTTTCCCCTCTGAGATCAAAGATAGATAGATATATAGATATAGATATAGATATAGATATAGATATAGATATAGATATAGATATAGATATAGATATAGATATAGATATAGATTTTAAAGTTATAGTCCTTTAATAAAGTACCACATGGCCCTGAAAATAAACTACTACTTCATGAATCTTACAAAGAAAAAGCAAAACAAAAGAAATATTTTTGCCTAGGCAAAAAGCAAATTGCTAAAGCATACATTAAAACCCTAAATGCTTAAAAAATAATACCATACAGGGCGGAGTAAAGTAGTTTTACAATTGTTCATATGGAAAATAATACAATAATTAATAAAACAAGAATAAACTCATGTTTCGAGTACTCACAACTGCAAACCTACTTTTGCCCCACTGTATATTGTTTAGGGAGTGAGGTGTGTAGTGAAAATATTAAAACATACATAGCAATAATAAATACTGAATTTTTTTCCATGACAGGATGAATGGAATGTGACTAGATAAAAATACAGAGGCTGAACTTATAATATTTTGAAATGACTGAACGTGTAATATTTTGCTTCATAAGCCGGACATTAGGTATACAGATACTAAAATAAATATACCTCGTACCACATTCTCTGAACACAGTACAATAAAATTAGAAAACAGTAGCAAGCCAAAAGGAAACCTTATAGATCTTTAAAAAGAAAAATTAGCTTCGGTCTCTTCTGTACACGTATTTCACAGCATCCAGAATGCTTTTAGAGCTTCCCTGGTGCACGTATAGACAAGCTTTAGAACAAGGAATCCTAGAGGCATCCCAAAGTTATCCTCAAAAAGAACTGGTCAGATTGTACTTAACATGACTCAGAAGATGTGGCCAGGGGCAAGGAGGGGTGGCAGCAGGTGGAATGAGGTCTGCAGAGTTCTGTGAAGCCCAGTGCCCATGGCTTGCAGCCCCACCCTGCCTGCGCTGCCAGCTCCACACGCCACTCACCTCCTCCGAAGTCACTTGCTTCGCCTCACTTGGATGAGGGACAGAGGGGCTATGTGAGTCCAATTATTTTTTTCCCCTGCTTTTAAATGCCCAGTCTTCCTGATGTCATCATCATTAGATTAGTTTCATTTCACTCTACTACAGTAAGCCTTTTCTAGCCAGACGTAACTGGCATCGATAGGTATATAGAATTCTTTTAAAAATTCCCCTTTTCTACTCCCCTGCCCTCTTCTGTCAAATTGTAACTTGATGATGATGCCTCCCCCTTCTTCCACCCCCATACCCTGGTACAAACTGTTCCGATCTTCACAGTGAGACACAAAACCCAAGACCAGTAGCAGTTTCATTTCTCGAGTGGGATTTGTGCAAGGGTTCAATGATCATTTAAAAAAACTCAGCTGTTAATTTCCAAAGTGAATCCCCACAACTTTGGCCAATAGAACGTGTGCCAGGTTTTAGAAACAGAAATGAGGTATTTTCCATGGAAATACATTCAATATGGGTGTTTATAAAACTGCAGCAAGGGCTAGGGGAAGGGGCTCTTGGCTGGGCTCCTGAGGAAGATTCCTGGGACTCCCACGAAGACCGTATCTCAGTGGGGAATCAGGAGGCCGCCACAGGGAGAACTGAGCTCAAGAACACCCACGGTGACCCAGCTACCAGGAGGCAACCCACCGCCAGCACACCTGCCTCCACCAACGCCACACCTGGTGACTGGACACCTAAACGCTGCTACCCAGATCCCCAAGTCATCACCACCATGCTTGTCAGCAGAGAAACAGAGAAAAGCAACCAGCTATTGGCCTCTACCTCACTGCTGTTTGTAAATCTTGCCTGAATGCACCTAATTGGCAGAACTAAAGTCACATCCTACTTTTAAAGAAGCCGGGGAGATGCAGACTGTAGTTGTCCGCCCTCTGGACAGAGGTGAGAATGGGTCCTGAAGACCAACTGACATTAGCCACCACGGAAGGAGGGTCCATGAGGGCATTCCTGTCTTCTTTCTGGTTAAATCCTCTGTGTGGACCTCAGCATAGTAGGCACTCAATTAATACTTGTTGAATGAATGAAGGTATGATCACAAATTACTACCAAGTAATAGCCTCACTTCCCTTTCTCCCCAGACTGGACTGAGAGCATAAGCTACAAACTCTCACCAGCTAGCACCCTCAATTCTCTTGCCATGTTGCCTCCTGGCCACCAGCTCTGCAACACCTTGAGTGACCAGCTGGTCCTGATTTGCCAGGACTTCCCAGTTTTAGCACCAAAAGTTCTGTGTCCCAGAAAATTCCTCCGTCCTGGGAAAAGCAGAATGGTTCATCACCCCAGCATCCCATCCTCAACGGTGAGCCTCCTCCACACATACGTCCAGAATAGCAAGTCTGGCTGAAGGGGGTGGGGGTGGGGGAATCACACCACACCCTTAGGTTTCCTTACTGCTGCTCTGAAACCATTTTTACAGGACCTTGGTCAGCTACTTTCCCATAACCTCACAATGGCGCCACCCACGCTGCTCCCTTCCATCCCATCACCACCCAGGGGTGCGGGTTATCAGATGACTGACATTTACCAGGGTTGAACTCCAGTAACCTTCCACATTCCCACTGTGGGGCTGGCACCTGTTGTCCGTCAGCTTGCCCAGGGCCAACCACTCCCCTTGTGCCCTCCTGTCTCCATGAGCTCTTTGGTCAACCTTTCCCTAGGCCCAGGGACTCCTTCCCTCAGCTTGTAAACATGTTAAGGTCTCTTCCATCTTAAAAAACCGCAACAACAAGAAAAAGCCTTAAGCCTCAGATCCCCTAGATCAGGGGTGGGCAACCCCTGGAACGCGTGCCAAACATGGCACGCCAGTAACTTTTGCTGGCACGCGGAACCCTCTCTTATAATCTTCCATTTACAATTTTTGTCAACATTTGAATGACTTAAATGTTAAATTACAAGGAACTGGCAAGACACTTGATGTTATGTTTGGTTACATAAAGGCTTTAGAAAAGAAACTGGAAGTCTTTAAGAGGGATGTGGATGGTGAGAGATTTAGATATTTCCCAAACCTCAAGAGGCACATCAAAGACCTCCCAAAAGATGACAGAACAGACTGTCAAAGCCTTCAAAAGCTGTTTTTAAACATCATCGAGTCAACTATTGAGCAGTTCTTCTCAAGATTTGCGAAATTTAGAGAACTGGAAGAGACAGCAAAATTCATGAGGTTTTCAGACAGCACGAAACTGGAGGAACTAAACTTACAAATGTTTTCATGGATAGACATGGCTGACTTTGAAATGCAGTTGACTGAATTTCAGAGTAGCTCAATTTGGAAGCAGAAATTTATTGACCTTAGAGTTGACTTGGAAAACATTGGGAAAAAAAGCGATTAGAGACAGGAGTACCAGAGAGAAGTGTCAAAAACGAACTTTTGAGGACTTGGAATGCCATTCCAGAAAATTTTTTCTGTTTAAAAAACTTTGCAACAGCGTTACTCTCCATGTTTTCATCCACATACGCTTGTGAATCTTTGTTCTCACTGATGAATTTTGTTAAGTCTCGTAATAGGAGTAGCCTGATGGATGAAAGTAGTAGCTCGTGCATATCTCTGAAGGTCACGAAATAGAAACCTGATGTGGAATCTCTGTCATCAGTGATGCAGCAGCAAAAGTCCCACTGATAACATCAAACGGAGTCATAAAGTTTTCTGTCAGACTATCAGTGTACATGTATACATTAAAAAATAAATGTATTTTTCATCACCATATACTGTGTTTTCCTCACTCGAATGAATTTTATTATTTCTTCAAGTTTCTTCACATACGTACACCTTAAGAGATATCAACTTGGCATAACATGTTCTCAAAAAATTAGGGTTGGCACGCAGAAGAATTTTGAGTCAGAGATTTTGCCGGTTTTGGCACGCACTCACAAAAAGGTTGCCCACCCCTGTCCTAGATAGACTGATCCTTTCAGTAGTTTACTTTCATGTGAAGCTGGGCCTTTATGAATGAAGAGTCTGCCCTCAGTCCTTAGGTTACTTCAACTTCAATCCACTCCTCACTAAGCCTCCACCTGCATCCTCCCTCCCCCCACATCCTTTACACAGTGACACTCCGTACGGAGCCAAACTACAACCTGCCGAAGGAAAAATCAGTAGTACTAATGCTGTCTGTTTTAAATGTTGATATTTGGTTCATTATGGATTTTTTGCATGAATGTCAATTTTTTTTCAAAACATTGCATTAGAATACTATATCTTGATTACTGCGTTTTTAAGCACCCCCTTAAATGTTGTGTCTGAGGTGGTGCCTCTCTTTGCTCACCCTGCTGTCCCATTCCTGCTGACAGTGCTCTTGTAGAGGACTTGGGGACCTCCTAGTGGCCACATCGGGGGTCTGCTGATTAACCCCGCCTTGATCCTACCTTGGCTGACCTCACACCTCTGCATTCTATGCAGTCCCTTGCTAACCTCTGACTCTCCACACCCTCCTTCTGCACCTGCTCCTTAAATGAGGGTGTGCCCTCCCATCCATCCCTCTCCCAGACTGTTCCCCTGACCTTTCTATTCCCCTGAACTTTCTGCTCCCCCTGCCTATGACTTCACCCTCTCCAGACTGAACTCCTATCAGAATGAACTTTCTGAAGTTCATGGTTGAACCAAGTCACTTTCCTAATTCAAACCTTCTAAGGGTTCCTCCTCTCCCAAGGCAGGTTCCAATTTTCTTTGCATTCAAGGCCTCTTGTGGTCCAGCTCCTGCCCTCACCTCTCATTAACACCCACCTTGCACATTCGGCTTCAACCAAACAAGGAGTTCTTTCTTTCCCATGCATACTGTGAGCCTTTGCCCGGATTACCTCTTCCATTTACCTGCCTAGCAAAACCCTTCTCCGCTTCAGGGCCCGCCGAATCACCTGCTACTGTGCATCTCCTAGGAAGAGCCCACACAGACTTGGTCAGTAACACCTTCTACCGTGTTACATAACTCCCTGGCATCCAGCATTAGCTCTAATAGGTGACCAATTTTTCTCACAGAATGTCTACTTTGCCTCCAAACCATCTGATATCCAAAGCACATAACATTCTCTGTAATCAGTAGCACAGCAGCCAGCACGACTGGTTCCCGTCCTACTTTAACCTACCCAAGGACATACTTCAGATTCCATTCTTTATACTGCTTTGCTCCCTGGAGCAAGGTCACTCACGGCCTAGCATGAAAGCAAGGTCACGTCCACCGAGCTGCAGTAGAGAAGTAAACAGTTCCCCAGCAACACCATGAACAGGTGCTAATGCAGAGAAGCCCGCCTGCCCTGCCAGCTGCAGAAAGCTGCATGCAAACTTGCCGCTTTCAGGTAGCTGTCTGGGAATCCCCACTGAGATGAGAAGGCCCCAGACGCAGTCACACAGAAGTTTCTGGAAGGATAAAGAAGGGGTTACTTGACCCTCAAGGCAACATAAAATGAGGCCATCTCACAGGAGCTCTGTGCATTCACTCTGAACATAACAGAACCCACTTTCCTTCTCCATTCATGCACAGACTCTGTGGATGTGGGCTGTGTGGGTAACAATTCAAACTGCTAATACAATAAACCCCTCTTTCCTCCTGCAACTATAAAGTGCCATTTTGTGCCCCCCCCCCCCAATATTTAAAATGAGATGTGGCCCAGCCGACATGGCTCAGTTGGTTGAGTGCTGTCCCATGCACGGAGAGGCCACCTGTTCCATTCCTGGTCAGGGCATATGCCTGAGTTTCAGGCTCCATCCCCAGTAGGGGGCATGCAGGAGGCAGCAGATTGATGTTTCTATCTCTCCCTCTCCCTTCCTCTCTCTCTAAAAATCAATAAAAATAATTTTTAAAAGTAAATAAAATAAAATGAGATGTAGTAATTCCTCACATGGTTTCTGGAATTTTTGAAGTGCCAAGGATACATACCAAACATAGTCTAAAAGACCACGTACTTAGGCTGAAGCATAAACACACGCCAATTTGGTGTGTTACTACTTCTGCATCCGTGGCTAAAAACACACATTCAAAATTATGTGGCTTCACAAGCAGTGCATTTCAATTACTGCAAATTGCCCACAAACAATAGATGATCTCACTTATAAAATAACATAAAATTTAAAGGTATATGTTATAAACTTATTTGGTGAGGCTCAGCCCCATGACTCCCAGGGAAGCTCCCACAAATTCCAGCATATCCTTACTTTCAATTACTTCCTTGGTTCATAACAGTAGCATCATCCAGACTAGATAAACAAAGGAATGAAAGAACCACAGAATGAGAAAGGATAGATCAAAAAGAAATCATGGCCCTGACCCATGTGGCTCAGTGGCAGAGCGTCGGCCTGTGAACTGAAGGGTCCCAGGTTCAATTCCGGTCAAGGGCATGTACCTTGGTTGTGGGTACATCCCCCATAGGAGGTGTGCAGGAGGCAGCTGATCGATGTTTCTCTCTCATCGATGTTTCTAACTCTCTATCCCTCTCCCTTCCTCTCTGTAAAAATCAATAAAATATATTTTTTAAAATCATGAATTATTTAACTAAATACAGCAACATAAGCAGAATTACTAGGGACAATAAAGCTACATCTGCTTAATATAGTGGACCCCTCCTTCTTTACCAAAGTTAAGCCTTTGCTAGGGCAAACTTCTCATACAGAGACCAAACACCTAACAGTATCTCCCACCTCTGTCCCACCCATCATCTAAATCAAGACATATAAAAATCTCAACATTGGCGGGGGTGGGGGGGGGGGAGGAAACAAATGTACTACTCATTGTAATATTTTAAGCAATAAAAATAAATAAATAAATAAAAATAAATAGGAAAAAAAAATCTCAATATTCCCTGGACAGTGTTCTCCTGTCCCAACAGCATTGCTCAAGTATTTGCTTCCAGTCGGAAATTCCTTCTTTTCAGTCCCTGCCTATTGAAATTCTCTCCCATCTTCCCAGGTATCTCTCCCATAAGCTTGTCTTGACCCCCAAATCAGGTCACCTCCTCTTGCTTCACAGCATCCTTTTTACTCTTGTCTGGCATTTGTCTTATACTAGTTTGGGCACCTGTCACCTGTGGTAAGATCCTTGAGGACAGATTAATTTCTTATTCATCTTCATTAGGCTGTGGTGGACCTTGACAGGCCTGCCAAGCTCATTCTCCTCAGCCTTGACCTGACTGATCATCATTACATAACTCCATTACTAAGGCCATGTGTAATGCCTTACTCATCCTATCTAATAAAAGGGAAACATGGTAATTAGCCATACGACCGCTACCCTTCCCATTGGCTAATCAGGGTGATATGCAAATTAACTGCCAGCCAAGATGGCGGCCGGCAGCCAGGCTACTGACACGAACAGGTGGCTTGCTTGTTTCAGTGACGGAGGACTCCAACGTTCCCCGTTCCCCGCCTGCCGCTGCTGGGCTCTGAGCTGCTAAGAAACATTGTTACAAATATAGAAGCTAAACAAAACCCCAGAAACCTATTTTCAGTCAGCCGGGATCTCAGAGCTGGGTTGCAAACAAAGTTTCAAATACAGAAAGTAAACAAAGCCAGAAACCTGCTTTCAGCAGCGAGGTCTCACAGCTAAAGCGGGCTCTCAGCTCCAGTGACAGCCATAAATCCAAGAATAAAAAAAAAAAAAGGAAAAAAGGAGCAGTTGGGAGCTTCAGTCACCCGCCAGCCTGAAAACTGCCCTCAGCCCCTCACCCAGACTGGCCAGGCACCCCAGTGGGGACCGCCACCCTGAAGGGGGTGTGACCAGATGCAAACAGCCATCATCGCCTCATCCAGGCTGGCCAGGCACCCAAGTGGGACCCCCACCCTGATCCAGGACACCCTTCAGGGCAAACCAG